GGTCGGTGCGAGAAGGAGCATGGAGTGGGGCCATGAGCGGGAGGAAGATCATCAGTGAGGGGCTCCGCTGGGAAATGCTTAGACCTGGGTCTCCCGTGAAGGCAACTCGAGCGGCTGTTTGGGAGCGGAGAAGGGACCGTGAGCCCTTCTCCTTTTCAGCCAACCCCATCCCCGAGTGGGTCCATGGGCAGCACCCGCGCGGGGCTCCTGCCCGGCAGCTGCCGAGGTCGAGATAGAGAAGTGGTGCGAGGTCGCAGCTGGATCCAGCAAGCGAAGGAAAACATTACCAACGCTACCAACTTGATGTCTCTGACTTCTGAAAAATGATCAATAACCAAATGTCTGTTATTCAAATGAGGAATCCAGGGTTTTTTTTCTGTGTATTTCACATTTTTTCTAACAAACCTTGCGTATGTGCTGCTTACAGTACGTTGCACTATATTTGGAAAATGAATAAATTTTGAAAGAATTTCGAGACTATATTTTTAAATCTGTTACGTTTTTTACTTATACTTACACAGAATAGAAGTTATATAGCTATTTCACTTGCCATTTCTTTATTAATATTTTGTGCACTTCAAATATGTCTGTCATTTAATGATTATTGATATAATTTTAAATTTTTATAGTTGTTTATGTAATTTCATTCCTGGACATAATTTACAGAACTTAAGGAATATCTTCAGAATATTTATTGGCAGAATATATTCTCTAACTTCAGGGGAAAATGTGATTGAGATATTCATATATTAAGTTGCAGGTGTCGAAAAAAGTACAGGTGTTTGTGATGATTATAATTATCACTGTGAATTCCATATTCATTCATATAAACTAAATCAAAGATCTGCCAATCAAACATATACAACATGAGCAGGCAAACGTAGTTTTAATTTAGACTATGCTTTTTGACTGATCAGAATGAACTAAAACTGTTTATAAACTAACTAGAAGGCTTGTCACTAGTGGACCTGCCAGGCTGGTGCTTAACATTAGCATCTGGCTGCACAGTCTTCTTTGTTCTTTATACCTGAAGATTAGTGTCTAGATGTGTTTCCTGAGGTAGTTGCAATCAATCTTCTGAATATTGAAGAAAGCCTGAAGGAATTACACAAAATCTTTAAGTGTTTAAAAATGATAATTTCTTCATATCTGATCTTAAGTGCAAGGTAAGTATCCTAGTATAACTTTTTTCTCCAGCAGTACAACCACTGGAAGACTTGGAAAATATCTTCCAGAGTCTCCTGGCAGAAATGGGTGATGCAAAGGCCAAAACTAGGAGCTGACAGATTAATTACCTGCAAACCCCTTTCCCCAGAGTGTGTGGGACTTTTGATATAATTTAATATCATACTTTCTGGAAGGGTGCCTTTCCTGTAGGTTGCTACAAGGGGCCACAGACATGTTTCCTGTGTGTTTCTGTTAGTGACACAGTTGGCTTTCTCATGGACCAGAAGTTTTTCTTAGACAAAAACAGTTAAAGCAGAAAAAATTTTGCTGTTGAGTATAATTCCTAACGAAGTTGCTTTTACTGTTTGTTGGAGACAATAATTATTATTTGAATCAAAGTTTGGGATTCAATCCCCAGACTATAGGCACTGCGTTTTCCCCATGAGTTTGGACTCATAGTACTATGAGTTAAATGAGAAAAGAAAACTTTGCAAAACTGTAGCTTTTCAAATAAACTTTAATTAGAACATTTTCCCTAGTTCCTCATTAAACTATAATGATGAAATTGCAGTTGATTGTTGCAGTAAGGCAACATCTAACCATGACTGCACAAGAAAGTACATAATTAGTAAATAAATCGTCCCGTCAGTGTATTATATACAACTGCAAAGTTACTTTCAACTTTCTTGGGGGCTTATATGTCAATTTAAATCCATATCTGTACCTGCTACATAATAATAATAAGCAAGCTAGAGTCTTGTAAGATCTTTTTAGAGTACATTGTTTCTAACATTGCAAACAGTGAAGGTGAAAAGTGATAGAAAAGCCTTTTGTCTTACTTTTTAACTATACATTGCTAAGACTTTTGATGCATTGACTGACATTATTGAGTTACTAGATGATGTTTAAGGTCCCTCCCATCCCAAACCATTCTATGATTCTAAAAGCCCTAAATGTAACTGTGATCCATAATATTTGAAGGTACTTGCCTGGAAGGTTTTTTGTATCACAAGGTCTTCAGAATGTGAAGGTGTATTGGAACCCAGTAATACAGCTAAGGCACCTTAGGGTGTGGATTTCCTCTTTGCTACTGTTTGTTGTATATGCAAATGAGATGAAACTTGTTTATTTAAACTTGCTTTGCTACATTCTTCCATCTAGCAGAATTTGCTTGAAAGCTGCAAGTCTCTAATACCAGTAGATTTGCCAGCACTCCTATCATATAATCCATCTGACTTACAGAACATTTACCTTTGAGGCCTCATCAGTGAGATGGCAGCACAGGGTTCACAACTGGTGAAACCGTAAGTGGCTAAGAAGACAAATAAAGCAAGCTAAGAAGTGGACCTAAATTTCAGAGAGGGTGAAACTCCAGTTACTGAGGTGAGCAGAGTAAACAGTAAAATGAGAGGTGTTTGGAATTAAATTCCAAAGAAAACTATGAATTTGTGGTCAGATGACAAGAAGAATTTGGAGATGTGTTGAACTTACTTCCACACTCAGAGAAAGGCAAAACCTCTCCTGCAGTACCAACTCTGATTTCCACACAGAAGAGTTTTCTTTCACAGAGAAATCCCACTCCTAGATAGAGATAACCCCACAGGCTTTCTCTGGAATTCTAGTGCTTTGATCTAGAGATACATGCTTGTGGCCCAGAAAGCCCATTTTATCCTGGGCTGCATAAAAAGCAGCCTGGACAGTAGGTCAAGGGAGGTGCTTCTCCCCTTATATTCTTCTCTCGTAAGATCTCACCTGGAGGACTGCATCCAGCTCTAGGGTTCCCAGGCACAAGGAACACATGGCCATGTTATAGCAAGTCCAGAGAAGGGCCCCAGAAATAGTCAGAGGGCTGGAACAGCTCTCCTGTGAAGAAAGGCTGAGACAGTTGGGGTTGTTCAGCCTGGGGAAAAGCAAGCTCTAGGGAAACCTTATGGCAGCCTTTCAATAAAAGATGACAGAGAGACTTTTTACCAAGGCCTGCAGTGAGAGGACAAGGGGGAATTGCTTTAAACCAAAAGAGGAAAGATTTAAATTACATATAAGGGAGAAATTTTTCACTTAGAAGGGTGGTGAGGTCCTGGCCACAGGGTGCCCAGAGAAGCTGTGGCTGCCCAATCCCTGAAGTGTTCAAGGTCAGACTGGACAGGGCTTTGAGCAACATGGTCTAGTGGAAGGTGTCCCTGCCCATGGTAGGGGGCTGGAACTGGATGAACTTTAAGTTCCCTTCCAACCCAAACTTTTCTATGATTTGGAACACATGTGCAGGAATCTGTTCTGGAAAAGACACGTGCTAAGACTTGTGCACATGTTTGTTAAAACATGGTCTTAATACAGTTGCAATTGTTCAAGAAGAGAAGTGCCGAGTAGCTGCAGCTGATGGGGATCAACAATGCAATGAAAACATTATAGCTCTAAATGTATCTACTTGCAAACAACCCCTTAGGCAGAGATTCAATCACCATACCAGGGTATGGTGGTGCTCCAGACAGCTCCCCTCTATGCTTCTCTCCACACATTATCCCTGATGTCCCAGTTTGATGATGATACAATCCTACTTCAAAAGCCTCTCTGCTGTAGCTTGGAGGAGGGGAGGAGAGGCACAGGGGGTAGTATCTTACTGTATATGTGGCTTTTTTTTTTCCCATTAAGTTCCTTTTCCCCAGGGGATGAGGAGAGCAGAGGTGCTGTGCAGGTGGGAGCTCCAGCCTAAATATAGGGTGCTGCAGACCATCAGCTGCAGTTTTTGGGAACACCTTAGCAAGAGGAATCAGCTAGACAAGTCTTTTTTATAATAGTGTATTTAAAGAGCTTTAACAAGTGCTCTTGGGTGATACCTGAACCAACAAAATAGATTAATTCAAATAATTTTGCCCACAGTAAGTTGATGCAACAAGAGAAATAGCTGTGCACAGTAAGATACTTCAAGAATGGCACATTTGAAAATCCCACTTAAAACAGGAATATACCAGCACTTTGAGGAGTTTCCTCTGAATATAGAGATGCTACGTTATTGCTTTACAGTGCAGGTCTATCTAACTGAGGTTCTAGATCATAACAATCTATTTCCCTTTAAGCATTTTTCATGTTATTTCTAAGTCAAGTCACAGGAAAGCTTTACAATTTTAAAAGAATAAAGGCCTACAAAGGAAGCCTTTCTTCATTCTTGTAGTTTTATGGGTTTGGAATAGTATTTTCATGCTGTATAACTTTTTGCACTCCCTCCACAACTTCTTAGCAACCCCAGCCCCCATGTTTCACTTTTTAAGTAGCCTATAAACTCACAACAATTGAGCACATTGAACATTAAGAGCAAGTCTGTTACAAGAAAGATGCAAAAAGAACAACTCTCTAAAACTAGGATTAATATTCTTTCATTATGAAGGATCAAGACCTGGAATGCAAATATACCACCCCCTCAAGTAAGAGGCAAAAGTTTGAAGACATTACCACAGAACATGCCTCTTCTTAACAAAACCAGCACATAAAGGCAACAGTACCAAAGCACTTTCATATAAAAAGCAACACAACTCTTTTCTGACAACATGGGTGGCTCTGAAAAGAGCCTTTGGGTTATAAAATTGTATTTAGAGAAACCTAATTAACTTCCACTTGGTGGCCTTATTTGCTTTTAGCCTTATGGCTCTCAGTCTTCTTGGGCAGCAGCACGGCCTGGATGTTGGGCAGCACGCCGCCCTGCGCGATCGTCACCTTGCCCAGCAGCTTGTTGAGCTCCTCGTCGTTGCGGATGGCGAGCTGCAGGTGCCGCGGGATGATGCGCGTCTTCTTGTTGTCGCGGGCCGCGTTGCCCGCCAGCTCCAGGATCTCAGCCGTCAGGTACTCCAGCACGGCCGCCATGTAAACAGGAGCTCCGGCGCCGACCCGCTCCGCGTAGTTGCCCTTGCGCAGCAGCCGGTGAACGCGGCCCACAGGGAACTGCAGCCCGGCCCGCGACGTGCAGCCCATCCCGCGACGAGCGCGACTTGGCCTTAGCTCGGACTTTCCCTCCTTGCTTACCGCGACCAGACATTTCTAGGCCACTTGAAACAACCACCACCAACCTCCACCGATCGCAAATGGAAACAGTTACCCTGACGCAACGGGTCCTTCCCTTTTATACCCTCCCTGGGCGGGATTAGTGCTTGGTGATTGGCTGGAAGCACCCATTTCTTAGACAACCAATGAGACGAGGGATCGTATTGTAACCAATTAGATACAAGGATCCGCCTCCTTTCGGGAAGATCCAATCGAATTGAACTACTTGGAGGTCTGGTGTTTGCATACCGGCCCTATAAATAGAGCTCGCAGCCGCCATTCTCTCTATCTGTCCTGAATTTGGAGAGAATAAGTGTATTTGTAAGATGCCTGAGCCGGTTAAATCCGCTCCTGCGCCCAAAAAGGGCTCTAAAAAAGCAGTAACCAAGACACAGAAGAAAGGCGACAAGAAGCGCAAGAAGAGCCGTAAGGAGAGTTACTCCATCTACGTGTACAAGGTGCTGAAGCAGGTGCACCCCGACACGGGCATCTCGTCCAAGGCTATGGGCATCATGAACTCCTTCGTCAACGACATCTTCGAGCGTATCGCTGGGGAGGCCTCGCGCCTGGCGCACTACAACAAGCGCTCCACCATCACTTCCCGGGAGATCCAGACGGCCGTGCGGCTCCTGCTAGAGCCAGGTGGCCGTGCGGCTCCTGCTGCCGGGTGAGCTGGCCAAGCACGCGGTCTCCGAGGGCACCAAGGCTGTCACCAAGTACACCAGCTCCAAGTAGAGTATTGTAGACCGACAGTTTTTAACCCAAAGGCTCTTTTAAGAGCCACCTACATACTCCTTAAAAGAGCTTTAGCACACCAGTGTCTCGGTCTTTCTGGGTTGAAAAGCATGGCTGTAAAATGCTTACGTTGAAGTGGATCTGTTAAATCGGTCTATAAGGGGTTGCAACGGTTAATACTGTATCTCAAAACCTATAATAAAGGAGAATCGGTTGCCTACATAAAGGTTGGTCTTCAAATAATTTCCCAATAAATGTAAGCAGTGTTGTGAAGTCTTGTTATAATAATTACTTAGGATGTGATGTGTTATACATTCTATCATAAATCGAAAGAAATTCACATAGCTTCCACTAGACGCATTCCAGACCAGTACCCAAAAAAACAGGACGAAAGAAATGAATGCGCCGGACATATTTTGCACAGTTGTCACTAGATAGTCCAGGACAAGACAGAAAGCAGCCTTGCGGATCGGAGGAAGAAAAGGACAAAAAGACTAGGGGAAGCGAGGATACCTCTCGGACGGGGTAGGTGCGTTGGGAGAACGAGCTGTCCGGCGACGGGAGCTCCCGGGATCACGCTGAGCGCGGAGCCGGCGCGGGCAGCGCTGGCTTTTCGAAATTACCTAGTGCCCAATGAGCGACCGCGGATTCTCCCATCAGCCAATCAGACTCGGCGAAG